ATATTTCCGGTTTCAATCACATGATGCGTTTTATCGTCTCTTAGCCAATCAGCATAACATCCAGATTCTGGATGTTGAACATGGCTTTTGAGGCGTTTCGTGTCAGGCCCTCTTTCAATACCGAGGGCCTGATACTCAGGTTACTGCTGATGACGAGATCGAGGATGTGGTCGCCTCTTGTTGGAACTCGATTTACTTGTGTTAGGTAGTGATCATTCAGAATTTCTGTGAACTGGACTTCGTCTTCGCCGGCTGTTAACTCTGGCGATTCCCAACAGATCTTCGGAAAGTTGAAGTCACCGCATATCAGTATGTTGGCGTAATCTGAACACTCATTAGCCAAAAAGAGGTTGAACTCGTCCAGCCATTTCCTGTTCATAGTCTGCGGGGGCTTGTACGTACAACATGCCAGGTATTTCTTGTTGCAGGTAGGATTTTATCGTGCTGGAAGAAATCCTCTCGAGAACTGCGATCACTTCATTGATAGTGAAAGCATCAGTCGACTGTCGAATAACAGGGGATGTTTTATCATCCTTTTCGGCATCGGTGTCATCTAAACTAAGAATTAAATCAAAATCTTCCTCTTCCATTTCAGCTTGAGCTTCCGCCATTTTTACTCGCATGTGTTCGAATATTTGGGGGGTCCCTTGCATCACAGACATATCAGGGCTCCTATGCTCGTTTCGCCGCCCTATCTTATAAACGCCCTGGCTACATACAGTGTAATTTTCCTCATTGGGCTTAAAAAAACCCTGTGGTTCAGTGCCAGTGGTTCCGGTTTCATATCGCGAAAACATTAGGGTAAGTAGGTGGGAAATTTTTGAATATTTTTTTCATGGTTTTGGCGGTTTTTTTGCTGGGCGATTTTCAGTAGAGTCCCGACATCAATATTAACTAGAGATGCGTAGTTCCTACGGACGAATTTAGGCAAAATTATGGTGTCCACACTACAACGAAAACGATAAAATTATCGATAACGATTTAAAATCACTCACCCGAACGATTTTTTTTTCAGTTGGACGATGACGATAAATTTTTTGATCAAGCGCAAAGATAACATTTTGGCGTTTTTCATCCCAAAATATGTCGGATGCGTGGAATTTACATGTACAGCTAAAGTTCTTCACTGTTTTGAATACTTTGACAGGTTTGCTAGTTATTGCTAGAAGGAAAATGTAAGTACGCGAATAGCAAATTTCTGCGTACCTACGTGGTACTTGCCTAAAAACAAAGAAGTACCAGACCATAAATTTGGCGTACCTCCGGTACGTTGGTACGCGAATTATCGCACCCTGTAAAAACGATTATACTGTAATTCCACCCAAAATCCTATTTTTTCTCTGCGAGTTTGCGATGTATATATGGAAGAGATTATTTCGCTTTACTAACCCTACTCCCAACTCCAACTCTAACCTTAATCCTAACCCTAACCTAACCCTATGCCAAATTTGTTTCTAAACCAATCTTGAAGAGAAAAGTTTTGATGAAATGTCATTCTGAGGTCAGCGAAACAGTATTTACCAGTGTATATATTTGAAAATTGCAGTGCTTCCACTTTTTAACTTCCAATTAGTGAAAATTCTTTAAAATTTCCTTATTAAAATAAAAAAGTCAATTCACGAACCATTGTTTCGGAATTAATTCAAACCTTGATTCAATAGATTTCCATACAGTAATTATTTCTAATCAACAATTAATTATGATTCACCATTATCCAGGCTGCAGAGTGTCGCAGTGGCAGGGCTGCAAATAAATATTTGACTTGACAGGACATTTGTCCGATCACTTTTAATTTTGGTCGGACATAACTTGAATTTGGTCGGACAAAAACCAACATCGCTACATTTGATCGGACATATACAGTATACGTCACAAGATATATATAAGTCACGAGACAAGTATGTATAGCCATTCCGGCGCAACGTTAAGTAAAATGCTAGATTGCCTCGTAAATTTTATTGCAAAATGCAAATTGAGTGAATTTGCAATCGGATTTTGTCACAGCAAAAAAATGTATGTGACAATTTTTTTGTGATCGGACCGATGTCCGATCAAAATTACTTTTGCTCGGACATTTGCCAAATTTAGTCGGACATTGTCCGATGTCCGACAGTAATTTGCAGCCCTGCAGTGGTGAACCCAAGGTCGAGGTTGTAGCAATATGTCGGACACTCCCTTCTATCCGATATTTTGCACCCCAGCCTGACGCTAGAAATGTTCGGTATACTGATATACAGAAAAAGGCGAAAATATACCGAAAAAGGCGACTCACAACTGGTTAAATATTCAAAAGGTGCATTTTAAAGTAATTAAAAGTTAACTAGCCAAGCAAGACAAAGTTAAACACAGTAATGCAAACGCTTTATCGCGAGGGGTCGGGACATATAAACAGATTGTCAATTTATTAAATTGTCAATTATAAATTGTCAATTCCCGTCCGATAGTTTGTTGTATTTTATATATATGTCAGCATTGTTCGCTGAGTGTCCAAACACTAGAATTTTATCTTGATTTTCTTAAACTTCAATACAGCACAAAATTAAACTCAACAGTCTTTCAAACTATGTCCCGAAGGAAATCTTGATTCTTGATCTGGAATTTTAAAATTTTTGTAATATTTTAAACACATGCTAATTGTTAATTAACCATTGAAATAGCTTCATTTTTCATAAATTACTCAAATAAGCACCTTCCAATCAGAGACCGGTCCCCAAATCTGGGAACTATATATCCACGTGACCTGAACAAGGATTATGCATCCAACTCACAGACGTTCCCCTGTGTGTTTCGTCAAGAGTAACGGCCGTGCACGAGCTATCATACCGATTTACCAAAATTTCTGATATATTGGAATTTTTTGGTATACTACAGTATATCAAATTTACACACCATGCATATGGCCAAATCATCAATTTTTGTTTCCCAAATAAAAATGCAAAGTAAAAGTAGACATTTTGTGTTAAAAACAATGTCAACTGCTATGAAATTATCATAAACGGTGTTCCCACTTTTCAAATTATTCAAAATCAAAAGTTCGTTCAAATTTCTAATTCAGAAAGCGAAAAACCAATATACGATAATATCGGACTGTTTTTTCCTTATTTGCATAAATATACACTGACAGTAGGCATAAGCAACTACAACAAGGGTGATGATTACTATTTAATGTACAACCACAATTTTAATTGCTCCCCAGAAATGTTTTAAATTTTGGTCTCTGAAATGGCATAAGAGTTTTGAGAGAACTTTTATGAAATATTTTTATATTTCCAAGACAATTAGGTTTTAAGGCAACCTCGTTCCCAGGGTCTCTCCTTCTGTCATCTGGGAGAGACCCAATCTCGTTCCCAGAGTATGCCTGTTCGCGGGTTAGGTAGTGGCATGCCTCTGGGGAAATCGAATTTTTTTATCCAAAATGAGATAAATGGCGCATGCGCTTTTATTGCTCTTGTTTATTCCGCTTACTAAATTCGCGCGGGCACACGCTCACAATCGATATTGTTTTGAACAAAGATTCTCATCAGAATATCGTATACAAAATAGTCTTTTATACGTTTAAAGGCGCTTTAAATCACACTACTATTAAACTATATTCAATGGCAAATATTGGAAGAGCTATTAAAGCTGCTATAGCGAAAAGAGTGCTTGAATATTCGTTAAAAGACGAGACATTCAAATGTATCTCGGCCATTGTAAAATGGTGAAGATGTTTTGGTTGTTTTGCCAACAGGTTATGGGCTTATTATGGCAAATATTAAAATATTTCAGCTGCTAACTGACGTGTACGACATGTTACTTGGCGTAACTAATTCTATCGTGATAGTCATCTCCACATGAATGACCAAGGCATTTCTGCATGCATGATAGTATGTCAAAGTATGATTATGATACAAGGGTGACAAGGCAATTCTGTGCTACACTGTACTATATTTGGTGATGGCAGCGATATCAAATTACCATTGGATCCCACATGAGAACCCAACGTATAAGCTGTTCTATATGCACCCAGAAATGTGTGTCTATGACAAGAAAATACAAGCTTTTTTCAACTGTATACTGTAAACCTCTGAATATAATGCTCACCTCATTCCAAATATACCCCCCCCCCCAAATATAAGCCCCCATGAATATAAGTCCCCTGAATATAAGCCCAGTATCCCAGTATGTTATTTAACATTGATATTGTCTTTTAATATAGCAGAGAACGATATTTAAGACACTGTCATTGTCTTTATAGCTTACTATGTTAATCGAAGTGTGTTATTAATACATGTTTATTTTCCTGTTTATGACTGACTTGTTTATTACTAACACAATTGATTGTCCATGTATAAGGCTCCCGTGCATATAAGCCCCCCCCCCCTAAGCCCACCAAAAATCGCTTACAAAAGAATATAAGCCCAGGGCTTATAGTCAGAGGTTTACGGTATTATTTATCACATATTTTAGCAATAAACACATTTTTTATATTATATTACAGTTAACATATATACATGGAGCACATATAAAGTCTTTAAAATTTAAATGACAGTACATTGTGTTTGTAATTATAATTACTATAATTACTTGTGTTGAAAGTAAATGAAATGAACAAATCCATATATATTTGTTGAAAATTTGTTGCAGTGGGTATCTTCCATTTGTTTTTCATGATTCACACTGTGTATCTTTGAACATTTAACCAGCAACTAATTATAGGCAAGGATATATTTACTAGCTCATTACTCCATACTAACAGGTACATAACATGCAAATTATACATCAGCCTTGCAATCCATGCTTTAACCCCTGCAGTTGCCCCCTCTCTTGCAGCATGTTTGGGAAGGGAGAGGAAGGAATGCAGGTACTGTAATTTCTATATTTAGCTCCCTTCTCTTCAAGCCCCTCTCCAATAACCTCCCCCCCCCCCTCATTTGGATACAAATTAAATAAGCCCCC